ACACACACACACACACACATATATACACACACACTCACACACACACATACACACACACACATTTATTACGTGTGTGTGTATATATGTGTGTGTGTGTATGTGTTCAGGTATATATGGTTTATGAGGACACACATGTGTATAATGACGTGTGTGTGTGTGTGTGTGTGTGTGTGTGTGTGTGTATATATATATATGCATATACAAATAGTAATTATAATTATTATTGAGAGAGCTTAATTAAATTATCTAAATTACAATAGTGAATAATAATAAAAGTTGTTATTATTATTATTATTACTATTATTTTATTTAAATAATTATTTTAAAAGAATATTACAAGTTATAGAATAAAACATAAACAATCAATAATAGAATAAAAGCATTGTTATTATTATTATTATTAATGGTTTTATTTTTTCTAAAGAATTGATATTTGCCTGCTGAACTAATTGGAGTATTTAAGCAGAAGCATGAATGATTGAGTTAACCTGAGCTCTGCTTCAGCTGCTGGGCAGGAGATGGCTATCTTGAGCGTTCCTGACACGTCTGCGCTGCAGCCGTCCGATGTCTCTGCCGTCAGTCTGGACTTCAGGGTCCTTCACTCGGTGGTCATCACCCAGCTGGGCGTCTTTCCCAACGGACCGCGAGACGACTTCAGGGGCAACGTCACCGTCCGCCTCTTCCAGGTGGACCAAGAGGTACGAGCACAAACGCAGTCTGGAGTCTCAACATTACGCATCAGATGATGAAGTCTCAACTGGATCAGACTCAACATCACAGTACAGGAGCTTTATAATTACAGTACAAACGCAAAAACCAAACGAAAATGCCCTTTAAAATCTAATGAAAATGATTCATATTACAATGAACTTCAGTATGCACAGTTATGAACATGACCGAGAAATATGAAAAATGACAACGTTGTAAATGCATAAACGTCAGCTTGACTTCAGATGGTTTTGTGCTCAATGCAAATGAACCAATATGAACTTCTTCTGGGTTGTATTTTCTTTATGGTCATGGTTTTCATTCAAGGAATAGGGTATATATAATAATAACTATTATTATTATTATTATTATTATTATTGAATTACATCTAATTGAAATCATTACTTAATAATAATTATAAAATATAATCCATTAATAATAATAATAAAACCATTATTATTATTATCTTTTAATGTAAATGATTGTATAATAATAATGTTGTTGTTTTAAACAGTAATAATATAGATTATTATTTTGTTATATGATTATATGATATGATTATTATTACAATTGTTATAAAAAATGGAATTAAAGTATAATTAAATAATAATGTTATTATGATTGTTGTTATATTTTAATTTAAATGATTATTGTTGTTATTATTATTAATAATAAAGTGAAATGATAATAATAATGGTTTTATTTTTCTAAAGAATTTAGATGATTTTCCTGCCACTAAACTAAACCAAATGAAAATTAATAATTATTTAAATAATTACTTAACAATATTATAAACCATGGTTTTGGAAGATGAGGCCGTCACACAACCTGTCCATGATTTCTTCTCATTAAAAGAAGATAAACGGACTTCTCTGACCTGATCAGAACAGACCCGTGACCCATTTTCAGATCACGACCCGCCAGAGCTGTAAAATATGCACAAAACAGTCGTCCTCCATTACACTCTTTTAGAAACTCCCATTGCACTTTGTAAAGTCATTCAATTTGTTCTTGCCACAAGAGAAACCCAAAATATCCTGTTGGCCTTTTAAGGTGAGTTTTCATCATCCCGCTAGACATTACTCATTTATTTGATAAATGTACTGGAGAGACGTCAAGAGACGTATCGCTCATTCCGACGAGCTGCAGAGATAAATGTGCGGAGAGCAAATTCAATAAAGTCTTCTCCATCAGTGGCTTTGATTGTGGAGTCTCTCTGATCTCTCTCTCGATGAGCGCAGAGGTCGACGCAGCCGCATCGCCTAATGCCACGATTTCATACATTTCCACGCTTCGTCGAAGTCAACAGACTGATGGGATGCCTCTAAAACATGAGAAATGATAGGACAGGAATCAGTAATAGTCATATTATGATTGTATTTGACCAATAAGTCCAGTAATGTTGCATGTGTTAAAAATGCACAAGGTACTGTATTTTATTATAGCATTAGAACAGAATTCATGCATTTAAAGCCATTGGTTTTGGGAAAATGTTGCCCAGTGTCTAGTTTAACTGTGATATTACATTTACATGTAGTCATTTAGCAGACGCTTTTATCCAAAGCGACTTACAAATGAGGACAATAGAAGCAATCAAAATCAACAAAAGAGTGATTATATTAGTAATAAAACCAGATGAACCACAGTGGCTGGACGTAAGCATGACCTTTAGAAATGATAAATACTACTTCCTTTACTGCAAGCATTTGCCTCTAATATTGACTGTTATGTTTGATATAATAATACTGTTCATATAATACATGTTGAGTTTGAGGAAATTGTGCTGTCTATTTGATTCATGCAGATTTCTTTATTTTCAGCAGAAAATCGCAGCATTTATCAGAACATTTTATTTTTGTCCTGGGGTTTATTTTTCATTAAAACTAAGAGATTTCAGTCTTTTCAGTTTTTTCATTATGCTTTTTAATCATCATTCATGCGCTTGCTTCTTGTAAAATGCATTTTATTCTATTGTTGTTTACTCTTATCCAAGACCCAGATGTTCACTTTTAAAATATGAACATCTATCATATAAGTATAATTATATTTTACTTACTTACTTTACTTTACTTTATAACACTTTATTGTCAGACGAGTCTGAAATTTTTCTTGCATGACAGTATCTGTGTTTACAACAATCAACATCCTTTAAACAACAACATGCACTTCATCCACACACAAACAAAACACAATATACATTACACTCCCTTAAACATTACATTATACCTTACCCTCCTGCTTACACTTCTACAACTACACCATGTTCACATTACTCTTGATTTTTTGATTAAGTGTCTTATTCAGCTCCAGGATCGCCTGATGCACAAAAGAATGTTTCAGCCTAACTTTATTGAAAAGTGAAATGAATAAGCCTCAGGCTGAAGGGAAAGTACATTTACGTCTGTACAGTAGAATGCAGAAGAAGAAATTTCAACACAGTTACATTATTTTTATTTATTTTGAGGAACACTGAATCTGTGTTGTTGTTTTTTTTGTGTGTGAGTGAGATGAATTAATGCATATTCATATTTATTTTAGAACTACAGTAACATCTTGTGATTTCTTTCAACATGGGGGCAGGAGAGCAATAAATTGGAAAAAAGTAACTTGCGTTACTTATTTGAAAAAAGTAACTCAGATATTCTCTTGTAAATTAAAAAGTAATGCGTTACTTTACTAGTTACTTGAAAAAAGTAATCTGATTACGTAACACGCGTTACTTGTAATGCGTTACCCCCAACACTGTTTATCAGAACATTTTATTTTTGTCCTGGGGTTTATTTTTCATTAAAACTAAAAAAAAAGAGATTTCAGTCTTTTCCCCTTTTGTTATAGGAAGATTTAGTTTTTTCATTATGCTTTTTAATCATCATTCATGCGCTAGCTTCTTGTAAAATGCATTTTATTCTATTGTTGTTTACTCTTATCCAAGACCCAGATGTTCACTTTTAAAATATGAACATCTATCATATAAGTATAATTATATTTTAAAACATAACATGATAATCTTTAATCAAATTTTGAAATTAACAATTTCAATATTTATTTATTTAAATATTTAGCTATCTAAAAACCTGAGATTTATTTTTTATCAGTTGTCAAATTATGGAAAGGTTTAAGAATATTTTTTGCATGTATCTAGGATGTATAAAATAGCCTTAACAGCATCTTGATATGCCACACCTGTGAGGTGGATGGATTATCTCGGCAAAGGAGAAGTGCTCACTAACACAGATTTAGACAGATTTGTGAACAATATTTGAGAGAAATAGGCCTTTTGTGTACATAGAAAAAGTCTTAGATCTTTGAGTTCAGCTCATGAAAAATGGGGGCAAAAACAAAAGTGTTGCGTTTATAATTTTGTTCAGTATATATATATATATATTAATTCATAAAGAGAGAGAGAGAGAGAATTTTTTACTGAATATTTATTAATATTAAAGAATAAGTGATGGAAATGACATTTGCTGGTTCAGAAAATATATATAGAGAGAATTTATTTTTATTATTTATGCTTTACAGAATATTTATTAATAAAAAAAATAATTTAATGGAAACAACATTTGCTGGTTCAGAAAAAAAGACAAGATTTTTTATTATTATTTTTTGTAATAAAATAAGTTGGCCATACAAAAATGTAAGAATATTATGTGCGTGCATTTAGGATTGTATAAAATAACGAGACACATTTTATTCTTAAATGCCATTACCACCACAGAAGATCAAAATAAACAGATTATGTGTGATGTGATGGAAATTAAATTTCTTGGCTTGCACCAGCAGGGCAAATGTTGTAAGACATGGCGTCTTGAGGCCCAGTGAGGATGCAGAAATCACATATCGACTTGTGCTTGTCATGGTTTATTCTAAAAACTTCACTGTCTGCAGCTGAGCAAATATAGTCTGTGGTGTTCCTGTTGACACGTTTACAGCCGTGTGTGTGTGTGTGTGTGTGTGTGTGTGTGTGTGTTTTGAAGATCTGCTGTATGCCATTGGTCCATGATTTTGTACATGTATTTTGTACATGCATCTTATGTCCCTGTAAATTATTTATTTTAAGTGGATTTAAATAAATTGTGTGTGTATGTGTGTTTGCAGGAGCCGGTGGTTACTGCTCGCTTCAGCGCACTGAGTCCAGGCACACGTGTGGGTGGGATGTTTTACAAACCTGTCGAGCAGTTCATTCTTCCCAAGGTGACACGAGGAGAAAAGAGCATTTATAGGAAACCACCTACACTAATGACTAGTGACTAGATTAGGGTTTAAACATCATTAATGTAGTTGAATGCTGAATAGCACGTTACTGCCGCTGCTGGTTTCACTCACACTGGAGGACGTGATGTTTGTGAACTCGTCTTCATCTGCAGGGTTTTGAGGGAACTCTTCTGTGGGAGGCTTCGGATTCGACGGGCCTGATGTCTGTCAACACGTCTGCGGTCCACCTAAGTAACGGAGGAGGGGTGCTCAAGTTTGGATCTGTGAGGGAAACAACATCTGTTCATTCGGTTGTATTACTGCAGAACGCTTAAAAGCGTGTATGAATGTGCAAAACGGCCCATTGTGATGCGTCAGTGTTCTGGAGGGTTTCTTAAAGGCATATTTCACCCCAAAATGAACATTTGCTTAAAATGATTCACCCTCAGTCGATTTTTACAAAGCTCATCGGTCTGAAAAGCGTGCTGTGATTGGCCAGCTATCCAGTGCGTTGTGATTGGCCGAATACCTCAAGCGTGTGACGGAAATGTTACGCCCCTCACCATACTGTGATGCCCTGTCCGGCCGGAGCGACGAGACAAAAACATTAAAACCCATTATAAACGAGGCATTTGTTGCATCCAGTGGGGACATAATTACTGATTATAATGACTTATACTGTCTTTTTACGCGTTGCGTTGCATCGCACCACGTAAACATAAAACCATGTCTGCATTTGTGATCGGAGAAATGACAAACAACAAGCGCTACTCTACACTGCCCGAAACTCACGTTTGAATCGTCAGTGGCTAATTCTTTAAATATAAAACGTACTTCCAGTCTGTGAGTTAGAACAGCCGGCATTGTAGTCTACTCTCCCAGGATCAGGAAACAGTCCTCCATAAAATGTGCTGCACACATCTGAATATTTGGGTTGAACTGTTCTGGAACAGTGTTGTAAATACAACTTAACCACTGATTTCTAGTCCTGTCCTCTTTTGGAAGACCAAACAAAGTAGTTTCACTTTCACAACGAAACACAGCATCTTCACGACATGGCGGCGGCAGCAACAATACTACAGCGAGAATAAAAGTTACGCCTTCTTTCTTTGCGTGAACATGTGGGCGGCGTTATGCAAATCTTCCCACATCGTGACGTAGACATGTGGGGGCGTGTTAGAACGAGCCGTTTTAGGTAGGTGTGGTTGACTCTTAACTTTTATAAAGAATATCTCTTTGGATTTGAGACTTTAATCTTTGCAACTTTACAGATCTTCTTTATGCACCAAGAGCTTGTAACACTCCAAAGAGAAAGGAAAAATTGAAATCGCATCATATGACCCCTTTAAGACGTTTTTATCTTCAAACCATTGCTTCCTGCTAAAATATGAGTCCATAATCCATAATAACATTTCCTTAACTTTTATAAAGAATATCTCTTTGGATTTGAGACTTTAGTCTTTGCAACTTTACAGATCTTCTTTATGCACCAAGAGCTTGTAACACTCCAAAGAGAAAGGAAACATTGAAACCGCATCATATGACCCCTTTAAGACGTTTTTATCTTCA